CGTTTTGCGGTAACTAATAGCGTTACGAGTTACCTATTCCCATTCAGTAACGCCGTTATAGTTACTGTGATTTAAATGGGTGCGTTACTGCGTTACATTATGTGATGGAACTGAACCGAATCTCCCTGCGGATGTAACTTACAGGCGATTACAGCGATGTCCTCTCACAGCACCATGGAAAAGTGAAAGTAACCAGAGAGGAGTGATGATTGGTTAACGCAGGGTAACATTTCAGGGTAAGCCAATCAGAGACAGAGATGGGCGGGTCTTGGCTTATGGGGAAAATACCATGGAAAATACACACACAACGAACACTTGCACACACACACACACACACACACACGGCAACGCTCACCACCAGCACACACACACACACAATGGCAGATGCAAGTATCAGCGAGAGCAGCAGCGCATTTGCAACTTGGAAATATAACCACTATGTTACATTTGTGGGGATAAAGGACGCAAAATATATTACGGTCAAATGTAAACTGTGTGCAGGACAGAAAGCATTGTCCACTTGATTGTTGAGGCTACAATAAAGATGCCTGTCAACATGTCTAAACATATCTTTTGTGTTTTATTGTTCCACTACATTTCATAATGATAATTGCTACAATGATGGGGAGTTGTCTTTTTCTCTTACTGTGCCACAGAACAACACAAAAACTTGTATTTGTATTGTTATTATTTTTAAAGTAAAGTAACTTGTTACTAGTTACTTTTATAATTTAGTAACTAATAAAGTAACTAGTTACTTTTTTGAGAGCAGTAACTATAACTATTACTAGTTACTTTTTAAAAGTAACTTGCCCAACACCGGATATCAACATTAGATTCAAAAACCTGAAACATCATTGTTGTCAGCTTCTGATACTGCTGCTACTGCTGCAGCTTTTGGCGCTTGCTTCGATGAAAAAACCTTTCTAATATCCATAACTTTATAGGCTATTAGCTTAAAACTCGTCAGGCACTGGGAAGGATCACTTCTTCTTCAGGGCAGGGAAGGCTACACAGTACGCAGGCTAATGTCCCGCAGCGGCTGCCTCTCTGGCGGACTCCGGTACTGCACATTACTCCAGAGACGTTTTCAACAAAAAAAAAGTTTTTAATTTTTTTTTTTTTTATAATTAAAAAGAAAAAAATGAAACATCCGGGGCTTGAGCCCAACTAGCCACTCCCTAGCGCCGCCACTGGTGTACATTATGCTAATTTTATTTCCAGGAGCAGCTTGTTCTTACTGCTCCATTGCTTTGCAAGATTTGTCTTTATTTGGATAAGCCTTACAGGAGTAGGGTACTGTAAAATGTCTTGTTCTTACTTCACTGTTTCACCGTCTTCCTCTTGTTTACTGTGTGTCCCTCTGCCTTCAGTCCACCAACATGTCCGTCTGTGTGTTCCTCGTGGCCACGTACACTGACGGAACCCCCACGGTGAACGCAGAGTGGTTCTGCAAGTGGTTGGAGGAGGCGTCCACTGACTTCAGATACGGGAAGACCTACCTGAAAGGCCTCAGATATGCAGTGTTTGGTCTCGGCAACTCTTTCTATGTCGGCCACTATAACACGGTAATCTATTATATCAAGTACTATCAAAAAGATGTGCTATACAATCGGTTATTTGAAGAACTATCGAAAACTAGAAATTGACAGATGTAGCTCAGGGAAGAACAGTCCAGGGAAGAAGTTGACGACTTGTTCAGCATTCAGTAATTCTTTTTGTTCTCTTTTCCTAATCAGGTGGGTACAAACGTGGACAAGTGGCTTTGGATGCTGAGTGGCATGCGCATCATGACCAGGGGAGAGGGTGACTGTAATGTGGTGAAGAGCCGTCATGGCAGCATTCAGGCAGACTTCCTGGCCTGGAAGGTGAAGTTCCTGACCCGCCTCCAGGCCCTGGCCAAGGGAGAGAAGGGCTGCTGCGGGAACTCTCAGAACGGAAGCTCCTGTAAGAACAAGAAGAAGGAACAGGAGGAGGACGAGGCAGCGCCTGTACCGCAGGACAACAGCTCCGAGGTAGAGCAGTTTATCTCAACATTGCATTTTTTGTTGCACACCGTAAACTGTTTTCCTTTTAGTCTTAGTGGTTTTACATGTTTGTGTTGCACGTTAGGTCTTGCTTTCAGAAGAACACTCTTGCTCATCAGTCTCCGGTTTGTAAATGCCAGTTGGACAAAATATGTCAATGAGCCCTTGCCCATATCAAGTTTGGATTAGGAACCTAAAATATGTTCCTGGTTCCTGCCAAATGCTGTAATGATTAACTTAGTTTTTATTTTGGCACCTTTGGGGGGCGCCAAAATAGCAGAAAAGCTGATGTCTAATTAGAAAAATATCTTGTTTATGATGATGTTGTTCAACATCACAAGGGCACTTCAGATATTATATCTGGACTAACGCCTCATTTTGCAAGGACTCAGGAAAACAAGTGTTGCTGAGTTTATTGGGTTAGTAGCACGGATGTTGTGCATTTTCAAAAGAAAGCACAAAGGTTGCATGCGTCATCACTATCAATGCTGTACATCCTGTCAAAATATAGAAATAGCTCTTACTCGTTCCACCAATCATTCAATTTATATTTTGTTAGAAGAACATTTATTTTATTTTTTTATGCACTAGTGTCAAATTGGTAGTCTGGATTGGAAATATGGTCCACAAGAAATAAAAAGGTAATCCACTGATAGCAAGGTTGGCGGTTTGATCCCCACCGCCTCCTGTCCTCATGTCAAAAACACTCCTTATAGTAGCAGCACTGGTGTGTGAGGGAGTGTGTGAATGAATGAATGAGAGGCAACAATTGCAACGCGTCCAGGATTAAAGCGCAATATGATTGGAGCCCATTGACTATTTACAAACACAGACCTATATAACATGCACACAAATGCAGAGAACTTTCATACACATTATAGTACACTAGGGGTGTAACGGTACAAGTACCCGTACCGAAATTATTCGGTATGGGCCCTTCGGTTCGGTACACGTGTGTACCGAAGTGTACCGAACGAATATAACGTTAAACGTGAAAAATTGAGAACGTGAACGACTCTTTGGAAGTAATCTCAGGTGCTGCGTCGCAGCATTCAGAGTAATTTGCTCACATTGGGTACAACGCGTCATAGAGCGAGCAAGTCATTTCATTGGACGAGAGGCATAGTATGAGAGCAGGGATGCGTTCAAATGTAGTCAGTAATTTGAGGAACTTTCGAAATGGCGAACGCAGATAAAGTTGATCTCGAAAATCCTCCAGCATCATTGAGGTCTCCGGTTTGGGAACATTTTGGTTTCGCAGTTACGTACAAGGATGACGGACAAAGACAGGTGGACCGAATCAAAGCTGTTTGTCGGCATTGTTCAACTAACATTGGTTACGCGGCTGGCAATAC